CATTTCAGCCCCGCTCTCCTCTGGGTGGGTCTTGTTTTAGGGGGGCTCACCATATGAGGGGCAAAGGGGGCCCCAGCAGCTCCTGAGAAATAAAGCTCCTCCTTTTCTGGCTGATTCAGCCAAAGTCTGGAGCCAGTCCTCATTGGTTGGCTTCAGTCATATGCTCATCCCTCAACCAATCACAGTAAAGTTCACAGCCAGGCCTGGCTCACTTGCCTATCCCTGGGCCCTGGGAATAGTCCCAGTCCCCCAGGAACCAAGTGGTAGAGAATACTGGGTATAGGTGGTGAGTCCCCAGAGAGCAAGGTTCCCAAAAGAAGGGTCTAAACAATGGGAGGACATAGACCACTGATTCCTGCAAAGCTGTGGAGCCAGAACAAAAACCTCCTGATACCCAGGAGAGGCCAGATCATCCAGAGCCTAAAGCCCTGTCTGGCTGTCAGCCCCATTGCTGTCCCCCTGGCTTCTAGCAGCCCATCCTCCTGACAGCTGAAGCTCCAGGGGTGGCAGGGAGGAGGGGCAAAGGCAGTGGGGTGAGTGTCAGAGCTCATGAGGAAAATAAGTCAGTTGGCCAGCTCTAGGCTGAGTGGATCAATGCCTATTTCCTGATGGGGTGGGTGGGGCTCCGTGTTCCGTTTCCAAGGCTGCCAGCCATTCCTGAAGTTCTGTTCTCTTCAGATCAATGCCACAGGGTCAGCCCTGGGTCTGTGGGTACCTGGGGACAGGAAGGGGCATGTGGCCTCAAATAAACAAGACAGTCACTTTTTTGACCTCTGCACCTTTACCCCTTCCATAGCACCCCTGACAAAGACTCACTGAGGTTGGGTAGCTCACATACTCTCAGACAATCCTTTCACCCCAACAGCTCAGCCCCATCTGGGTGTCATTTCTTCAGCTACCAATTGGGGTGGCATTTTTATACTTACTAGTGGGACCAGTCACAATATCATCCTCTATGATGTGTTCATGCAGTGGGTATTAACTTGGAGCCTGGCACAGGCCAAATGTACACTTGGCATCATCCATTGTTACCATCACTGTTTTTATTCTTGGGGAAAATGGCACTGAGAGAACGGACTGGGCTAAGGGTTGGACTCCTGGGCCTGGGTTTTTTCTGCTCTGCCATTCACTACCTGAGTTATCAGGGGAACCTCCTTTCCCCTTGGCCCTGGTGGAGTGCAACACTTTACCTTGTGATTTCTGGCCATGGGCTTTGTGCGTCCCACCAGAAATCTATGTCCGGACCAGCCAGGCACAGTTCTCTCTGACTGCCGATGGGGGTGGAGGTAAGAGGCAGGGCAAGTCCCAGGCCCTGGATACTTGCCTGGAGGAGGAGGCAAGGCTCTGCTGAGAGTAGGCCTGTGATCCCCTGGGTCTCCCCATCCCGTGTCTCTTTGTTCTCACTCTGCAGATATTCATGGCAGGCCCACTGTGTGTTGGGCCCTGGGCTGTGAGCATGCTGGGCAGATTTGTCCCTGCCTTACAGACCTGACATGCCTTGGAGGAGACCAACAGGAAATGAAGTGCCTCAGTGTGGGAAAGAATAAAATAGGCCATTGGAGACCCTGGGTGGGCTTCCCCATGAGGTGCTGCTTGAGCTGTCCCTGAAGGAAGAGTAGTTTGGAGACAGTCCAGTGACAGAATTAAGCTAATGGCACCTGAGGGCCAGAATAACTGGCCAGTATGTCTGGAACAGGAAGGCCAAGGGGGCTGGGTGAAATGAGGGCAGATAGGTCCTAGGCCTCAGGGACTTTGGCTCTCACATGTGCCCCAGAAGAGTTTGAACTGGGCAGGGACTCATTAGCCTACTTTACATTTAAAGGATCTCCTGACACAGAGGCTAGGGATGGGCTGAGGTCTGGGGCAGGGGGTTAGGGGTAGGAGAAACCTGGTGGGCTCCTGGGAGGAGGTAGCCCTCGAGGCACTTGGATGCTGGAAGGGTTCTGGGGCCACTGTTGAAGCTGCCTGTGGTATCAGACAGAGTCACCAGTGAGGGACTGTCTGGTTTTCACATATCAATCAATGATTAATTTATGACTGAAACAAATGCATTGTCATTGTCATATTAAGACATGAATATTATAAGAGCCAGCAGACTGAGCCTGCTGCCTACTCAGACCAGCAAGCCCCAGCCATCAGGCTGCTCCTCCAGCCAACCCCTTTCATGCCCTGATGGCTCTGTGGCATTGGAAGCAATCTTCTCCACTTAGGCCTTGGTTTCCTCAAAAGAAGTGGCTCCAAATGGGATGAGGGGACCTTTGGACTCCAAGCCTGTGGCTCTGGGGATGCCAGGTCAGCAGATGTGTTTTGAATGGCTGCTATGTGCCAGGCCCAGGGCTGGGAAGGAGACTGGATCCTACCCTGGAGGGGAAGAAAGATAATTTCATATTGAGGGAAGCCAGGCACTGGGCAGAATCAGAGAGGGTTGAAAAGGTATGCTTGTTGCTAGAACTCCTACTGTGTGTGGGACACCAAATTCCCTTTCATCTTATCAGCTTCATGGATGTCATGAGAGGGACATTATTATTCTTGTTGTTGCAACCCCATTTTATAGAGTGGGACCTCAGCAAGAGACATGTCTGGGGTCCCTCCACCTGGCCCTGGTTGCAGACACCCTGCTCGACACAAGAGGAAGCAGCGATGCTCTGCCTGGCTGTGGGCCTTGCCCTGGGAGGGCTCTGAGCCCCTTCACTCACAGGTAGGAAGCCATGGGGCAGGCATGTGAGCTGGTTAGCAAAACCCCTGTGCACATCCCTGCCCCTCTGTGCCTTGGTCTCTGCATCTGGAGCATGGGCACCCCACACGACTTGGCAAAGGACCATGCATCCAGTGTCTGTAACAGCTGCTTGTGTGGTGTGATTATGATTGAGGATTGAATTCTGACACAGGAGGTGGATCAGAGGGTGGGAGGTGGAGCCTAAAGGGCAGTAGCCTGGGGAGTCAGGCCTGCACCTCAGCAGGGACCTTCTTTGCTCAGTGACCTTGGGTGAGACACTTGCTGTCTCTGTGAAAGGCATTGGATAATGGCTCTGGGGGTGTCTCTGGGCCCAGGAACAAGATGTGGCTTGCCTTCCATTGTCTCCTTAGTAAGCAGCAAGGTGAACACTCTCTGTGTGTGTGAGCATTAGGGTTGAGAGTGCCCTAGGCTCATCCCCTTGTCTTAAGAGCTGTTAGAATCCTAGACACAGAGGTATTCCAGATGTTTCTGTCCTTTCCCCAGCTAAGACTCAGTCTCCCAGCAGAGGGGAATCTCCTAGTTCCTCTGGAGAAAGGAGGGAGGAAAAGGTGGGCATCTGAGTCACTTCCTTCCTCAGACACTTTGATGGAGTAGGAAGAAAAGTTTCCTGAGAGCTTTTGGTCCCCTGAGAGGTTGGTCTCCAAGGAAGAGGAAGAAAAAACCAGGACACTGTGTGCCAGTCACAGGCATTGTGGGGGTGTTTGGCTGGAATCTCCTGGGATGTCCCTCTCTCATTCCTGGCAAATGTCAAGGCTCTGGTTCTGGGATCAGACCTGGCTTTGAGGCCTGGCTTCACCTTCAACAGTTCTGTGACAGGCAAGTGACCATCTCTCTCTGTGCCTCAGCTCCTTTACCTGTAAAATAAGGCCAGTGACTCCAGAGGGTCACGGAGCCAATACAATAACCCTAGCAAGGTCCTGAGCACAGAGCCTTGCATGTGTGGAGTGCCGTTACCCAGTCAGAGCTGTGCTAGGTGCTCCAGGTAGACTACATCACAAATCCTCACTGCAGCTCCAGGCACTAGGAAATCTCACTACCTCCACTTGATGAGAGTGTAGCCTGGAGAGCTGAAGTGATCTGCTTCCACAGCTGGCCAGTGGAGGTTGTGGGATTTAAATCCCAGACAGCATGAGGTTGATGAACTCTCTGGGTGGCCTAGACCAGGTGGCACTTTCTGCCTTCCCAGGGCCAGGAGACTGGGCAGGATCCTAGGCTGGAGCCTGGGGCAGGTAGGGCCTGCAGACTGCACTGTCTGGGCCAGCAATCTGGGCGTTGGCCAGAGAGCCATCCTCCTTGGTTAGAATCCTGCAGCCAGTGTCCCTGCTGTGCAGACACATAATTATATTTCACATTAAAGGGGAAGCTGGAGGCTGAGGAGGCTTGGGAGTCATTTCAGACTTGTGCTCTGGGCACAGACCAGCATCCTTGACCCAGTTCTGTGGCTCCAAGACTGAGCTAGGGGTCAGACTAGTGATAAAGTGGGGTCTTCTTAGGCCAAGGCCCAGCTAGTTAGGTCTGTCTGCCAGGATAAAAAAGGCTGAGAGATCTAAGGCCCAGACAATAGGCCCCAGGAGGCTGGGAGGGCAGGACTCCTGGGGACAGGCTGGGAAAAAGCCTGAGCCTCCAGAAGCAGGGCTGTGGAGAGAAGGGGTAACATGGAGGTCAGGTCTGCAGAAAGGGAGGCCAGAAGGAGGAGCCTGGAGAGGATTAGAGAGAAGCCAAACAGAGTTCAAGATGGGAGGGGAGAGATGCTACTAAAGAGAAGGGGATGAAGTGTCTATAAGTGTGCATACCTGGTGTGCAAGGGGAAAGGATTCTACAGGAATGTACAAGCCAGGATCTGGGTGCACACGTGCACACGTGCAGAACTACCCTGAATGTGCACACATGAGTGTGTATGCCACAGTGCATTTACAACTATCATGTGTGTCAAGGCATGAATTTTATATGTGTAGATGAACTTGTCTACTGGCAGTGTTGCACGTGCATGTGCAAGATCCTCTTGCCTGTGTGTGCACACTCCCTATGCACCTGCTTGTGCTTGTGTCCCTGGAGGACATGACTCTGTGTGTGCACGCGCGCCAGTCCCCGCGCGCGCGCGCGCGCGCGCGCGCGCTCTCCCCAGTGGGCAAGTGGCTGGTGGTGTGTGTGTGGGGCGCATTCCGGGGCTGGAGAGGCGCTTAGCTAGGCCAGGACCCGGGTGGGTGGGGGCAGCGGTGGCACGTGGCGGGCGAGCTCTTGTTTGAGAGTTAGAGGAGTTGCAGAGCTGGATTCTGGTAGCGGCAGGGCACGGAGCTGGGTGGGCGCAGAGCCTCAACCTCCCACCGCTTCCTCACTCTCCATCCCTCTCTTGCCGCCTTCCACTGGCCTCGCTGCGGCCACAGCCTCCCTGGGAACTGTAGTGAGGGTCGAGGGGCTGGTGAGGCTGCAGCCCGCGAGGAGGCGCAGGGCGCGGGAGTGTGGGGAGCGCGCCCGGCCTGCCAGAGATCAGATAACAGTCAGCGGGGGAGGGGTGCGTCGCCCGCGCTCACAGCCCACGGAGCAAAGGACTACAGAGCGCTGCCTGGAGCCAGCGCCCGGTGCCCCGGGGCATTGTCCAGGGGTGTGACCCCAACTCATGGCTAGACCGAAGCTATTGGCGGTTGGAACTGATGCGCCCCTCAGCATGGAGCGCCCCCGGGTGCTGCCCTAAGCCGGCGATGCAGCCTGTGCGGCGACGGCGGCGTCCGGGGCCAGGAACGGCAGCTCAGAGCTCGGAAGACGCGGAGTGTGCCGCGCCCCGGGGACTGACTGAGGTAAGTGCAGGGTCACCTGGTTCTCTCCGGGCCCGGTTTCCCCTCCCCGCAGGCCTGCTCTGGGCTCCAAGTGAGCACGAGGTAGTGCAACAACTGGGAAAGTGGGGTTGGGAGGATTTTTCCTATCCTGGTTTTCTGTTTGTTTTTTTTTCTCTTCCCCCCTCCATTGGTGAGCCTTTGGAGGAAATGCTGACTGCAAGCTTGTCTTTCTCTGCCATGTCTTCGGCTACTACGCCACCAGGAACTTTGCTCCTTGCTAACCTTCGTTCTGGAGGTGCTTTGGGAAACTTTGAGGCGTTCTCGGTCCCCTTTGGCCGACTTTCACAAGGGGGTTCGGGAGGCACTTTCGTGCGCAGCATCAGCCCCTATGTATGACCTTCCCGGAGACCTGGGGATCAGGGTGGGGAGGGGGGAGATGTCCAGGAGTAGTCCGAAAAATGCCTCAGGCCAAGATCTAAGGGTCCTTGGAGTCCGCTTCGATTTTTCTCTTTCTGTGAGTAAAAATGGTGTTCTCCGCCGGTGAGCGAGCCCACGACTCCGACCCAAGCTTTTTGCTTTTAGAAATGGGCCTTGACCGTGGAGGGTATGGTCCCACAGCTGAGTAACCCCTGAGGCGTGAGGGCAGGGTCCCTGCGAGGTGTGCCTGTTGGCTCTGGATGTCTGGAGGGGCAGGGGGGAAGGGGGGGCGGGGGGCGCAGGGAGGGTGGTGCACTTGGAAGGCAACTGGGTGGGGAGCTCCTGGGGAGACTTCAGAACGGAGCTGAGGCCCAAGGGGGTGTCTGGTGCTTGTTCAGATGGAATGTGCACACTTTATGGGAATACTTTAAAACCTATGCTCAGAATGGGATGTCACAGGAAAGTGTTTCTTTGGAGGTGGGCTTCAGTTCTAAGAGGTTCTTCTGCCTCTCCACAGCCTGGACTTGCTGGGACCTGGGGCTACCTGCTCCCCATATTCTAGGGGACATGAGCATCCTGGAGTGCTGTCTGTGACTATTTCTACTTTCTTATTTACTCCCTGTGCTCAGGCTGGAGCCCTGGAATAAAGTGCTGGGGAACCCCTTCCATCCAGATCCACATCCTGAAACCCTGGTTTACAGGCTCTGTCTCTCTGAAGCACAGAGGCACCCTTGGGTAGCTGAAATCAACAGCCTCCTCCTTGAAGGTGTGAGCCTAGGAGGCACTAGCCTTCTGGCCTACCCCTCACCCCACTACTGCCCTGCCCCAACTCCAGCTTCCCCTTGTGCTAGGTTGCTCCAGACTCTAGACTGCTGCCATGTGGCCACAGAGGGTCAGGTAGGAGATCTCAGCCATGGGTACTGTTGTGGGAGGCTTATGATAGAATAAACCCTGCCCTCAACCCCCTTCCTGAGTCCTAAGAGACTCCTCTGCATAGTCTTCCCACAGCTTTCTGGTGACACCTTCCTTTCAACCAGGGGATCAGAGGTTGGCAGCTCTAAGAGAGGTACCTTGGAAAGGCTCCCATCAGGTAGGGCCAAGACCCCTGGGAGAAAGCAGAGTGCAGAAGGGTAAGGGCTCACTTAAGCACACCTAGGGACAAGAAAGGGGTTTCCATTTTGCTGGGTAATGGAAACTTTTCCACCGGTGCACTGCTGAGTATACACAGTGGACACCCTTCATGCTGGGTGTTAACACAGACCTGGCAGAGACAGGCCCTAAGTCCCCAACCACCTCCTTTTCCTCCTCTCCAGATGAGGGCACAGCAGAGCCCCTTCCCCAGCCTGAAGGGAATGACCCTTGTCTTGGGAAGGGGACAGAACCTGAGTTTGTCAGCCTGTCCCTGGACCCCACCCCATGCCCAACTGCCATGTTGGATTCCCATAGGGCTTCCAGGCTGCTCAGGAGGGCACCCTTCCAGACGAGTGCCTGGTGGAGGGATATTCAGGGAGCTGTGCTGTGCTGGGAGGAACAGGTGCCCAGAGAGGGGCAGGGCCTTGCTCAAAGCCACATAGCAAGCCAGGGGTTTGAGCAGAAGCTTCCACTTAGCTCTCTGCTGCCAGGCCTCCTGTCCCAGGTTCATTGTGCCCCGTCCTTCAAATCTGCCCAAAGCAGGACAAGGCACTTCAACTGGTTCTGTGTCAATGAAATAATGACAGCAATGATAATAGTTATGACAGTAACAGGGACAGCAGCACCCTGCAGCACTGGGACCCAGTCTGCCTGTGGGCAGTTTTCTTTGGCCTGGCTAGGCCTCCAGTGTCCTGGGCCATAGTTGGTAGTACTAATTGTGGCACCCGGAGGCCTTGGTGTACATCTCAGGTGAAAGCGACTGCATCATCACTCCTGGCAACCTCTGTGGCCCTTGCCCAGTCCCAAACCGAAGGTTGTGGTGCCTCCTCTCAGGCCACCTGATGTCTGCCCTCAGTCCTGCTGCTCCCAGGCCCAGTGCTGCTGGGCTGGGCCAAGCCTCTGAGAGGTGCAGCTGATGTCCACTGCTGTGTCCCTGACAGGGCTTTGCTGTGACACATGGGTACACCTGCCTCTCCACTGGGGCCACTCCTGAAGCCCTGCCATGGGCTTGCATGGAGGAGGGTCTGGGAGGGAGGCAGTTTGTGGGCAGCAGGAGGAGTGGGGCTGGGTCAGTCCCTGGGAGGCTATAGTGGATGTGGGCTCAGTCCCATGGGACTGCTGCACTGGGGAATTGGCAGCATTATGGAGAGACAGCTAAGACTGAGGATGAAAGAAGGCTGGCTAGATACTGGGTGATGGGCCAGGCAGGGAGCCTAAAGATTTCAGAGGAGTCTTGGGGTGGGGTAGGGTAGGTGGGCCAAGGTAGCAGGTTTTCTAGGGGATCTGGGGGTGCAGTCAGGACTGGTACCTTGGCTGGTCACTGGCTGAGGGATCAGCTCTCTGTCAGCTGATTTAATTTCCTAATGGTTTGCTAGTATGGAGTGTGGCATCAGCTTCATTATACAGACAGGAGGTTTGAGGCACTAGGAGGGATTGGAACGCATGCCCCTCGGTCCCAGGGTCCAGGCACTCTCCCAGGGACAGAGCTGTGTATTTTCTCATTCCATAGACACCCTGCCAGGTACATCTGTGTGCCAGGCTGCCCATGGGGCTGCCATGATGGCATGACATCTCCTCTTCCCACCCCTTCCCGTGGGGCTGGTCCCACATAGGCCTGGGGGTCTGCTTGCCTTCTCAGCTCCCAGGTTGCATATCCCTGGGACCTAGTGAAGGCCTGGCCTGCAGTTGGTGCTCACAAGTGTTTGGTGGGTCAGTGTCTGGGTTGCTTTCTCTGGCCACAAAGACCTCAGTGGGCCCTGTTGTGTGGCATGGGTTGTGGCTGGTGGGCGGCTCAGGGGGTGGAGACCCTGGCCCCAGCGCAGTGTCTAACATACAGAAGGTGCTTAATGAACCAGTGTTAAATAAGTGGAGGCCTGGCCCTGCCCTTGAGGATCTCAGTGTTTGGAAGGAGACTTCAGGGCAGTCAGCGAGAGCTTGCAAGACCTGTGGTGTGACTGTGGCTGAGTTACTTCTCCTCTTCGGTCTCAATTTGTTGTCTGCAAGGTGGGACTGAAGCCCCAGCTGGGGAGGCTGCTGAAGGCACCGAGGATGAGAGAGTAGGAATGTGAGCCTCTGGGTGTGCCTCTGAGCAAGAGGTCTCAGCAGAAGCAGGCATATGGAAAGGGAGCTCTGTGAAGGAGGGGATGTCAGCGTTTGTGATGCCAGAGCCTTGGGAATTCGTCATTCCAGTGCAGCCTGCCCTTGGACACTTGAGGCCCAGAGAGGGTAGGTGATCTGTTGTAGCAAAAGAGGGCGTGAGATGCAGGCCTCCTGCTCCTGCTGCATCCTCGGTGCCCTGCTACCCGCTCCCTCCCTACAACACAGACAGATGTTCCAGACCTCAGGTCTTTCTGCCTGGTTGCTGAAATGGAAGCCTCAGAGGCAGCGGGGACCTCAAAGACCCCAGGTCTGATTTCCTAATTGGCCTTCTGTCCTGGTACATGGGACACATATTGGTTACATGGCCAAGTAGGAGTGGAAACCCCTTTCTCAGTGGCCCCAGGGAGCAGGTCTATACTGCCTGTCATCAGTGCTGCAAAGTCAGTGGGATTGGCCTCCTGGCTCCTGTGGGGGACCACCTCTGCCCAACGGCTGGACTGGCCTGAGCTCAAGGATGCAGGCTTGGAGAAGGCCAGGGAGCAAAAATTAAAGCCTTCAGAGTAGAGGCTTTTGTCAGGACCACCCCAAGCTGCAGCTGCTTGAGCTCTAAATGTGCATTTGATTCACTCTGGGTGCTTTAGTCTCAGCAGATCCCTGGGCTCAGGACCCTCTCATGGTTCCCCTCTCCTGCAGAACAGAAGCCACACTCCTCACCATGGTCCCCAAGGCCTGGCACAGTCTGGTCATCATTACTGGCTTCATTTCCACCACTCTTTTCTTTCACTCAGGCAACTTGCCTTCCTCCTTGCTGTGCCCCCAAAACACCAGGCCTGCTGCTGCCCCAGAGCCTTTGCACTTGCTGCTCCCTTTGCCTGGAACACTCTTCCCAAAATCTCCACATATCCCTCTGCTTCACCACTTTCAGATCTTGCCCGGATGCCATGTCCTCCATGAGGCTGCTCCTGGCTTTCCTGAATAACATCATGGCCTTCCTTTCCCTACACTCCTTCTCCTGCATTTTTCTCTTAAAACATTTTTAATTGAATTTATTGGGATGACATTGGTTAATAAAATTATATAAGTTTCAGGTATATAATTCCTCAGTACATCATCGGTATATTGTATTGTGTGTTCACCACTCTGAGTCGAGTCCCTTTCCAACACTATTTATCCCCCCTTTACCCTCTGCTACCTCCCGCTCCTGCATTTTTCCTATGTAGAACTTAATGCCATCTACCACACGATGTTTTATTTGCTTATCTTGTTTACTGCCTGTCCCCCTAAAATGTAGGCTTCTTGAGTGCAGGGTTTTGGGTCCAGTTCGCTCCCAGCTGATGCCCAGTGCTACAGCAGTACCGACTGTATGTAGGGGC